TTTTTTTTTTTTTTTTTGCTGTACACGGGCCTCTCACTGTTGTGGCCTCTCCCGTTGCGGAGCACAGGCTCCGGACGCGCAGGCTCAGTAGCCATGGCTCACGGGCCCAGCTGCTCCATGGCATGTGGGATCTTCCCGGATCAGGGCACGAACCCGTGTCCCCTGCATTGGCAGGTGGACTCTCAACCACTGCACCACCAGGGAAGCCCGAATAAATACAATTATTTATCCTAAAAAACAAACAAACAAAAAACCCCCTGGGGTCCAGAAACTTTTTTTCAAAACACTGTCCCTCTAACATATCTTATCTTATCCACACAGGCTACTCTACATTAAACAGTTAAATTCACTGCAGAAATCTGAATTCATGGCATATCCCATCATCCATGGCCCAAGATGCTCTCTGTGGTGGACATGGAGATGCACTATCCAGATCCCACTTCAAGGAAGGACCAAGTACCCCAGGTGCTTTACTGGGGCTGGTCTCCAGCTGACCACACCTTCAGGGTCTGCTTCAGCTGCTTGCCCAATGGCTTGCCCTCCTTCCTGGCCCACATCCAAAGACTGAGATAAGTGGGGCTAAAAGGCCCTGCCCTTGGGCCCAATGTGGGGCAACTCTGACGGGCCCCCACATGCTCTCTGTAGGGTTGGCTGAGGCTTTGTCAGGCCTGCATGGTTGCTCCACCTCTCCCTCTGCCCAAGCCTGCTTTCTTCCCCTCCCTTCCTGGTACTGATCCCAATAAAGACCCTGCATGCCCAGCTCCAACTCAGAGTCTGCTTCTGGAGAACCCAATTGGGTTGTTTGGTCGCCAAGAGTGATCTTGGAAAGCTTGCAAGAAGATGGCCTACTTGCCACCTGGCTGGTAATGAAAACCTTTGTCTCAGTCTAGAGAGTTAAGGTGGTCAATTGAAGCTCAGCCTCAGCAAAATCTCCTTCCAAACTTTACTGTCACTGCAGCCACACTAGCTGGAAAGTCACCCTTGGCAGTCTAGAGGGACCTACTGGGCTAGTGAAAGGACGTTCTCAGCGACTGATTCTCTATCTTTGGAGTGAGCCAAATTTGACACCAATCTCTGAACCCAACAAGCTTCAGTACTTTATGAAAAGCATTTTTTAATTTATTTTTTAGTTGATTGTAGGCTTTTGGCTTGTTTTACTTTTATTTATTTATGTTCCTGTTTATGGACTTACCCCTGGAAGCAATCTGGCAGGAAAATGATGTTTGTCTTACTGTATTTTACTCACAGTACCTAGTTGAAGAAAGAAGTCACCTTATTTTAGTGCTATATAGATGACTTACTAAGGGGTTTTGAAATGAATAAAATTAACACCATCACTAAACAGAGTTGGAACAGTGGCCACTGTTCCCCATGCAAACAAACAAATTCAAAATTATCTCCTGGCTTTGACAGCCCTTCCTTCAGCAAAAGCACACAGCAGAAAGCAAAAGTTGGAGTCAATTTAAAGTGTTTGAAAAGATTATTCAAAATCAAAGTTCCAAAACCTTGAAATCCGTAACATCGCCACAAAGTTCTAACTTTTATTAACTGTGGTGAGGGATTGAGGTAAGAAAGAATACTTTTAACTCTCTGAAAAATGAGGCCAAGGAAATAGTATTCTTTAAAATGAGAGACAGTATAGTGAGTTGAACAGTGGTCCCCAAAAGATATGCTCAAGTCCTGATCCCTGGTACCTGCATATGTGACCTAATTTGGAAAAAGGGTCTTTGCACATGTAATTAAGTTAAGGATCACGAGATGAGATCTTCCTGGATTTTGGGCCTACCTATAAGAGAAAGCTGTTGTCCTATAAGAGAAAGAAGAGGGAGATTTGAGACACAGGGGTAAGGCCATGTGAAGACGAGGGCAGAGATTGGAGTGACATGTCTACAAGCTAAGGAACACCAAGAATTGCTGGCAGCCACCAGAAGCTAGGAGAGCAACATGAAACCAGTACTCCTCCAGAGCCTCCAAAAGGAGTCAACCCTGCTGCCCTCTTGATTTAGGACTTCTGGCCTCCATAACTGTGAGAGAATGCATTTCTCTTGTTTTAAGACACCCAGTTTGTGGTAACTTGTTACAGCAGCACAGGAAACTAATACAGGCAATGAGAAGCCACTTACTTTCACGGTACCATGGGGTCCCCAGTGGGTGAGCTGGACTTTGATTTCCGGCAGAGCCCAGCGTGCTTTGAAGAGTCTGCGTATTGATGTAGCAGGGGTCGTCGAAGAGATCCACTCGGCACGCGGGCTTCATCAATGACGTGTCTCTTTGGGACTGTACCCCTCTCTCGTGTGCATTACCTGTAGTGAGTAAAGATCAATGTATGGTGTTTTTGCTTTGGAAACAAGAAATAAAATCACGTTTGAGTCCAGAATTGACAGGAAGGGAAAAGCCATGCCCATCCCATGCAAGGATTGAATACTGACTTTGAGATTTGACCTGTAAAAACAAAATAAGCACCAGTCTTTGAGGGAAAGCACCCTCTTTTGGCCTCCCTGCCCCTCCCTGCCCGTCCCTCAGCTGACCCTTTGCTTCAACAGCAGACAGCAGACAAACCAGGAAGATGTGAAAGAGGAACAGCAAGCGGAGGAAGGACGCTAACCGGCCAGCAAAGAGCACAAACCCGTACACGACACCGCTCAGAGCTGCAGCCCAGGAACCAAGAAAACCACACATGCCATGTGGAACTTGAATATCTACTAGTTATTGAAACCGCTTTCCAAAAAACTCGTTACTTAATTTTAAATTAGTAAGAGTGGGAAGTCTGTCTTCCCTTTATTGCCAAAGTTTCGTTTAACCAAGCACAGCCCTGCACCAGCTGCTGATGTTCATTCTGTCATCTAATGGAAAGAACTCACCCCTCAGGTTACGTCCTCTGTCCCCCTCTGCCTTCTCCTCTCCATTCTATTCCATACATGTGGCCAAAATGATCTTTTTACAACTGAAAATCCGATCCTACTTCTCAGAGGTTTAAAAACATTCACTGCTTCCCACTGCTCTTGGGATACAACTCAAATTCTTCAACAAGCCCCAGGCCCTGCTCCCGGGCACCTAGCTTCCACCGCAACTCTGTCCTCCCCAGTCTCTGCCCCTGCTCACATCGGCCTTCGCACTAGAATCCCCACTGTAAGGCCATCTTCTCTGACATGCCCCCTTCCCTCCCCTTCTCCAGCACCCTCATCCTTCAGTGAGGTCGGTTTAAACATCTTTCTCAAGAGAGCCTTCCCTGACTTTCTCAGACTAGACTATGTCTCTCTGCTTCCCTCTGAAGCCCATACCACAAGAGTACTTAATTCTATTATGTTATGATGTTTCTTAATATCTGTATTGCATCTAGACTGCATGTTCTACGAAGACACAGATCCTGTCTTGCTGACAGCTGCAGCCCCTGCCTCTAGCATATGCCTGGAACACATTATCACATCAACAAATAGTTACTGCCTGAATGGATTACAGACCCATATTTCACTACCTGATGGCATGAAGTACTTTGTACCATTCAACTGGTCCTGTCCTGAGAATGCCAGGACAGAATGTTTTTGTCTTTCTGTTTACACAAGTACCTTTATAGTTTTGGCCATACATATACAAGATCCCCGTGAGGCTGCACCTGAAGCAGTGACATTGTTATTTCATTGTCTTACCGGAAAACATCACTCTTTCCAGTCAACTAAACCCCTTCAAAGGACCAACTTCCCACTGGATTTCACATCATGGTGAAGAGTGCTGTGATTCTTATAACACAAGTATGGAAACCTAAGAATACACCAGATAGGGGGCGCCCAGTCAAGACTACAGTCCTACCATCTGCTCCTCCTTTGCTCCTCTCTGTTCGATCCTGCCTGTCACCCTGTCCCATGTCATAATCTGTACGTGGAATATTCTGAGGGAAGAGTGGGATTTGACAGAGGAAGGGGCAATAGGGCCCCTCGTTTCCTTGTTGCTTTTGGCAACATACGACAGTTTCCATTTACTTGGTTAAGTGGATTTATGAAATATGTTATCCAGTTTAAACTAAACTTACTTTCACAAATGGACAAGTGGCTAAAGGATCACTGCAAAAAACTCAAGGATTGAAGATCATTCTTTTACTGAGTACAAGCTCCTCCTTAGCTACACTCTGAGCTTACGAACAAGCCTAATCTAATTAGATCAGAATGTTGGCCTCCTAACAGTTAAAATTATCAAGATTGAAATGTGGATTTATGTCTGTTTTCTTTATCAATAATGCCCTAAATGTATACCAGACCTTGAGATATTACCTAATGATAGTATTCAGCCACTATAACTAGCAAGACAATTTTTAAAAATGTCTATCATTAACTTTAACTGAAATTTTCTATTTCTGTGTGTGTTTTATAATACATGCACAATATATTAGCACAGTGTAGAGAACTGATGCATGATTGAATTAATATTTATTTAGGAGTGCCTGCTCATAAAAAGTTACTGAGGGCTTCCCTGGTGGCGCAGTGGTTGAGAGTCTGCCTGCCGATGCAGGGGACACGGGTTCGTGCCCCGGTCCGGGAAGATCCCACATGCCGCAGAGCGGCTGCGCCCGTGAGCCATGGCCGCTGAGCCTGCGCATCTGGAGCCTGTGCTCCGCAACGGGAGAGGCCACAACAGTGAGAGGCCCGCGTACCGCAAAAAAAAAAAAAAAAAAAAAATTACTGAAAGTGGAATATGACGAACAGTATTTGTAAGAAGTCTGCTTCTAAATTAACATGGACCTGGGTTCCACAGATCCCTGTGGTATCTCTTACTATTTGTGTGGCCAGGGGCAAGTTACTTAACCTCTCTGTCAGTTTTCATACCTGTAAAATGGGGATGCCGAGCTTAAAATACATTGTGAAGATTAAATGAAAGAATGTGGGTAAGCCCCTCACTGAGCATAGTGCCTGCCTTGCAGCAGGCGTTCTTCTCACTGTTGTGTGTCTATTGGGCCTCTGCACATGACACTTATCTCTTGCTGAAATATCCTTCCCATCCATTTCTTCACCTAACTCCTATTTGTCCTTTAAGATTCTGCTCTGAATTCCCCTCCTTCAGGAAGCTTTCCACGGAGTCCTCCCTCCTCCCCCGCCCCCCACCCCAGGCTGGGTAAGGTGCGCCACTCCATAATAAACTGTAGGTCTCTGTTTACTTCCCTGTCTTCCCCTTGAGACCGAAAATTCCTTGAGTCCTGAGGAGAGACTAGAACCCATTTTTCTGAGTATCTTCTTCATCTTCAATGCCTGGTATGAAGCAGATGCTCAAAAGAAAAATGTCAGCTGAATGAACAGATGACTGAATGTCTACCAGTTTTCCTTTCTTAGCAAATGTGACCCCACCACGCTCTCAAGACCTGAAGTCAACCCTTAGCGCAGGGCGCTGACTCATCTGCCCCTCACAGAGCACTGGCATGAGCTGACTACATCAAGTTCACCATCCCACAGGGTTACACAAAAGCATCAATGTCTATACAGTCTCTCTTAAAAACTACCATTCCTTTTTCTCAAATGCACCATTATATCTAAGTCAGCAAAGTTGTCTTAAATTTAAAAAAACAAACAAACAAACTCACCCCATGCTGAAATTTAAAATCTTTCTAGGATAAAGTGTGTGGTTATTCAGAGCTTAACTACACATGCCAGCCATCATGCATTCCAAAAGTTCTTTGTGCAAAGTGTTACTCTGAGAAACTATCCAACCTGCCTAAGAGAAGATTTGTGGCAGAAAATAAATACATACACAGTGTATATACTGGAGGTACCAAAGTTTTTAAGTGCTAGCCCTTAGGGTCTGTGGGAATTTAACATCTTTTTGATTAAAAATATCAACATTTTCATTTTGACTTGAAGGTTGGGGAAACAGTATGCTATTTTGCTAATTATTTTTTTCCACAAGGGAATTTATTATTAAGGACAGAGATCTTTTACACATCTGGCAATAAATATAATTAACTCCTTCAACAGGAAGGCTACTGCAGTACTTATTATACACCAGAATTCAAATTTTAAGTCAATATTTGAATAAATAAATGTCTTTGAGTTAAAAAGCCAAAACTTGTTGAAAATGTTTGTATAGGTGTCTCTCAAATGCTTATGTGTGAATCTCTGGGAAAAGCCATAAAAACTGTCTCTTTGCTATTTTGGCAACTGCTATTAATTTGGTGACTGGTCATAAATTTCTGATCTTATTTATTTATTTATTTATTTATTTGGCTTCATCGGGTCTTAGTTGTGGCGCGCAGGACCTTTGTTGCAGCATGCAGGATCTTGTGGCACGTGGGCTTCTCTAGTTGCAGCATGCGGGCTTCTCTAGTTGTGGCACGCAGGCTTTTCTCTAGTTGTGGTGTGTGGGCTCAGTAGTTGTGGCACGTGGGTTCAGTAGTTGCAGCACGCAGGCTTAGTTGCCCCATGGCATGTGGGATCTTAGTTCCCCAACCAGGGATCAAGCCCATCTCCCCTGCATTGGGAGGTGGATTCTTAACCACTGGGCCACCAGGGAAGCCCTCAGATCACTTTTAAACACATACCCAAGTAGTCATAGGCAGGCCCCAAGATAGGAACCCCTGACTTCTGGGTGTCTGTGCATTAAAAGACACTGAGTTAGGAAAGTCCTTCCTGCCACAGCAGGAGGGACTTATACTTGTCACAGCCCCTGGAGCAGGGGTTGAGTCCTTCGATCCCTCTATGTGCTGAGTGGCTGAGGTCTGGGGAAATGGCTTCCTAGCACTCTGGTTCCCACTGGAAGTTAGAACCTGCTTTTCTAAGAAAACAATGCTGTAGCTCAGTGATTTTCAGGGGAAGAGGATATCCAGCTGGAGGGTTTTTTCCAAACTATAAACACCATCTCTCACCTCCCCGAGATTCTGAAAGGTTCCCAGCCATGAATTGTTACCTTATTGCCACCAAAAAGGAAGACAGTGTGCTGAAGCTCAGTATTGGTCCCAGACTCTTCCACAATTAGAGTATAACTAAAGAACAGATGCTTACAATAGAATATCCTATTGTTGTATTTGTCATTACAACATATACACTTAAGCTCCAGTATAGGAAACCAAATAGTAGAATATGGTCACTTGTCTAGGAGATAGCCAACGTGGCTAAAATTAATTCTACGGAAAAATAGATTCCAGGCTCCAAATAAGTGTTTATTACAAAAGTCTGTTCTTGAGTTTGGATCTGATAGTGGCTTAGGGCATGTGTAAAGCATGAAAGAATAAGGGGTTACGTTGTTCGTTAGTTTAAAGGAGAAATAAAACCAAGATAAACAGAAAGAACAAATTGGATTCTATGACAAGGTTATACTTACAAAAAGAAAAATCTTGAATAAAGTTGAAATAGTGTTGCTTTGAGGGGAAGGACACTTTAAAAATGTAAAATAAAAATCAAGGTGAAAGCTTCTGAGGAAAAAAAAAGAAAGGAGACCTTGTCCCTTTTCTCTGATGGTAGTGTCGTGATTTCAAACATTCAACATCATTCTAGAAATGTCGAGGATTCCTGTTCAGTGAGTTCCCTTCAGAAGCTAGGTGGCTGAGGCCAGAGGGGCGTGCCATGACGACTGCTTAATGGGGAGGAGGGATGAGCTGTGGGAAAAGAGGTATTGGGGCAGGGCGAAACATTTTGGAGTTCCACAGGACTCTCTCCTAGATCCAAAACTCTCTCTTCCCCTCCATGTACCCTCTCAATGCAGTGATCTGGGAACTGGTCCTGGCACACTTAGGAATACCAGTACTCATTTATACTCTTTCTCTTCCTTCCCGTCCCACTTCCCTCTCTGTGCCTGGATAATTCCCACTCATCCTTCGGGTCTTAGTTTGGTTGTTAACTTCTTTCGGGAGACCCTCTCTAGCCTCCCAGATTAAGTTAGGTTTCCCTGTTATTTGTTCCCATAACATCCTGGGCTTTGAAACGCTCATCACATTTGTAAGCACTGGTTTAAGGTATGCCCTCTGGCTAAACTGCAAAAGACATGAATGCCAATTGTGTCTCCATCCCTAGCACCCAGCTCAGGGCCCCACCCCACAGGATGACCTGATGATCACTGAGTGCATTGCTGGATAAATGAAGAACATAGAATGAGAAAAAACAGGATGTGGAGACAGTTCAAAGTGAGCTTCAGCACAGGCAGAAAATGGATACAAGACTACAAAGCACATGTGGTATGTTCCTGACTATTAAATCCTAGGTTAGAAATCTCTAGGGTAAAGGAAAAGAGGAACGAAAGAAGAAACTGCAGCTCCTAGAGGACACAGTTTTAAAAAGACATTTACACTCGACACTAATTTGTTTTAGTCATATTATTAAGAAGTCATTTGGAATTTTAAATACCTTTAAAGAGTGGCATTGAATTTTAATTTCCTTCAAAAAGAACCATGTTTTTAAAGAATTTAAAATACTGCCTCTGCTCACTACTCTGATTATCTTTGCAGGGTGGAGGAAAGTGGTAATCACAGCCGTACCAAGACCCTCATGTACCCCCACTGTATAAGAAATAATAAAATTCATGGGTTACACTGGCAAAATTCCATAAGAAATATGAAGATATCCTTGGAAGTGAGAAACTACCTTCTAGTTGGCAAGTGTCTGCTAATTTAATTTGAGTTCCGAAGTGTGGTTCTCCAACTCTATCCTCCACCGCATTAGTTACAACGTCCAGTTATCTCCCCCCCTAAAGCTGCAAAACTGTCCTTCCCAAAAAAATACTTTCAACAATTTATAAGAATGAAATGACTAACTAGCAGTAGAATTCTTTTATGAAAATATATTTCCAACTTGATAGTCTATGCCCTACATTTGTGTTGTGGAAAAGTTGTGCCTGATGTCAATTATCACATGCAGTAATAAGATATTTAATACCCTGGCAAGTATGGGGTGTATGAACCTCTAATTGGGACTCTCACATTTCAGATTTCTTTTTGTTCCCTTTGCCAAGCAGAAATAAAGGTTTTCTCTTAATCCTAACGGAGTTGACAAGCATCAATTTTCATATTAGCTTATTGTCTGATATTCTTTGAAATGGAACTGCCTTGAGTTTTGAGTAGAGAAATCACCTTTCCAGTAAGAGAGCTTTCATGATATCCAAGCAGTGAGGGACTTCCCTGGTGGTGCAGTGGTTAAGAGTCCGCCTGCCGATGCAGGGGACACAGGTTCGTGCCCCGGTCCGGGAAGATCCCACGTGCCGCAGAGCGGCTGGGCCCGTGAGCCATGGCTGCTGAGCCTGCGCGTCCGGAGCCTGTGCTCCGCAACGGGAGAGGCCACGACAGTGAGAGGCCCGCATACCGCAAAAAAAAAAAAGCAGTGAAAGATTCCATAAAGCAGAATTGTAGTGTGGAAGAGTACACAGGAGCACAGGAGAACCATAGCTTTTCAACTGACACACATGTGGCATTCTGCGCTTCTCAGAATGTGGGAAGCCTGCAACTGAAGCATTACATGTTGGGTTATATACACCTGACTTTCCCATGAACTATTTAAGAGCAAGGGCCACACACGACCATAACGTAGAAGAAATAAGGAGAGTGGAAGATGGAGAAGGGCAATTGTACCTACCTATTGCCCTGCTTTGTTCTAGACAGTTCTCATACACACTGCTGCACTTGGAGTTTCCCGGCTGTATAAACAACAAATTGTGAAACATTTACAAACATAGTAAATGTTCATAAACTTTCAAAAAACACACAAAACACTAATAATGCTCCCAGCAGAATTTAGCCGACAACTCCATTTTCTGACACAGGAAGTGTCTGACAGGTGAGAAAAAGAAACTGAGATTTTGGACGGGGAGTATAGCCTCCTTTCCCAGTGCACTGTTTTGGAACTGCAGAGGTGGGTCTGATTAGGGTGGGGGAGGTCATAAATGTTCGGTCTATATCCTGAGGGTTATAGACCTCGGCTTGGGAGGTCACATTCCAGGATTCAATCCAAGCTCAGCCAGAAAGTGTGATTTCCAGGACACTTATATAAACACTGGCCATTTAGCAAACCTCTATCTAACCGTGAACTGGCAGATTGGAGCCCCACTCTACTAAGGTTTGTGCCAGACCCACTTTTCATCCCTGAAAAATCTCATGCTATCAAAGGCTTCGATTATCCCATATACACACAGCTCTCTTCAGTAAGGGTATGGGATCTACTGATGCCTTTGAGAAGGGCAATGTCTTTGCTTTAGAAAGATTAATCCAGCAATACCATGCAAGAGGGTTTAAAGGAATGAAACTGGAGACAAGGAAGGGGCTTTCAGAATCATCTGGGCAAGTGAGGACCAGAACTTAGAAAGATGCAACAGGAATGAAAAAGGTTGGGTAGATTTAAGATACTTTCATGGTAGGATCCTAAGTCTTGAAGACTGAGTTGATAAGTGTGAGAAAACAAAAGACTGTAGATCAGTGAAAGAATAGGAGTGCCATTAATAAACATGAGTACGTCTGGAGAGGGATCTAGCTTGGAGTCAAGGTAAAATGCTGAGTCTAATCTTGGTATAAACAAGCAATGAAATGCTTGTGGCATCACAGCTGGAGAGGTAGGTAATGGCTGAAGACAGAGAAGCTGGTGGAGTGTGTGCACAGGCGGCATGTCAGAGGAGAAACCAGGGCCAAGGGCAGAGCACTGGACAGGGATTCCATGGTGGTAAGGCTTGGGTTTGCAGGGGAGGGCATGCAAGAAAACAAGATATAAAAAGGAAAGATGTGGGCTTCCCTGGTGGCGCAGTGGTTGAGAATCCGCCTGCCGATGCAGGGGACACGGGTTTGTGCCCCGGTCTGGGAAGATCCCACATGTCACAAAGCGGCTGGGCCCGTGAGCCATGGCCGCTAAGCCTGCGCGTCCAGAGCCTGTGCTCCGCAACGGGAGTGGACACAGCAGTGAGAGGCCCGCGTACCACAAAAAAAAAAAAAAAAAAAAAAAAAAGGAAAGATGCAACTTACTTTGAAATGCATCAAAAATCAGATGGATTGATGGGTGATAGCTAACAACATAGGATGACAGGGCAAATAGAGTAGAATTATAATTTTAGAATCTAGGTGGTGAATATATGAGTGTTCATGTGTAATTCTTTCAACTTTTTTGTAAGTTTGAATATACTCAATAAAATGTTAGAAAACATGAAAAAAGAAAGAAAAGCAGCAACTAGAGATGCAGAATGCGAATGACATGATGAAAATGTTTAGAAGCTAACAGAAGAGGTCTAAAAAAAAAAAAGGCAGCCAACAGATATCACAGGCTATAGACAGATTCAGAATATTGAAGAAGGAAATAGATTTAACAATTAAACTGTTGGTGACCAAAAAAAAAGTTGGTGACCACTGTAAAAGAAATTTCTATCAAGTTGTCAAGCAGAGTTCAGATTTTGGAAGTGTAGTGTGGATGTGAATGCAGAAATACAGGCAGTGTTTTCTAGAAGTTTGTGGGTGAAAGGAAGGTGAGAGAGAGGTAGGACATTATTAGATGAGTTGGAGGAGTCCGAGTTTATTTGCAGACAGAAGCGAAAGAACAAGTAGACAGACAGAGAATAAAGACTGAGACAGAGGTTGATGGACAGAACAAGGGCACAGAGTTGGTAGGAGGGGATGGGATCAGGAGCTCAGGGAGAAGATTAGCCATGGAGACAGTAGCTAAGGAAGAGAACCAAGGAGAACACAGAAGACTTGGAGATGCGGAAGGGTGAAGTTGAAAATAACATGTTGGACCGTCCTTGTCTTCCCAATGAAGTAAGATGTGAGGTCACTTGCTGAGGATGAGGTTGGGGGATTGGGAGTAAAAATTATTGAGTACAGGTTCCGACGATGATTCACTCTCTGGCTCTGTACTGAGGAAGATGATACCTTCTCTAAACTAGCATTTGGTAATCCTCAAATTAAGCTCTCAGTGGTAAGGACAGAAATGCATTGTTAGTTCTAATAGCATTAAAATGTTACTTACCAAATAGCACAACTTTTCACACCGTATGGGGCAGTAAGCCATTTGTTCTGTGGTTTGAACTTTGATCCGTACATCTGAAACACCACCTGCAGGTGGCTGCTTGCCCGGGATTTCATTGTAATACTCATGATCTTTTCTCTCCTCAGTATGGTCATCAACGTGCACCTCCTCACTGTAAGGGAAAAAAGAATCCCCAAGAGGCTGAGTGGGAATTCAAATGCTGTAGGGGATGTAGAGTGATCAGAACCATGCAAATAATCCTGAAAACATCTGGATGGAAGCAACCAGATGGCTGAATTGTTAGGTTTCTGTAGACAATTAAAGTGGGGTAAGCCAACAAAAAGTGCCAAGGGTGATGCTTTTGTGTCTCCTCTCAGTGATAAAATATATGCATACACATATATATATGAACTCCCTGAATGTCAGTTGTTTTTGTCAATCGGATAAAAACACAAAGTTTTCCTGGATTTTTCCAGCACTCTTTCATTGTACCATTTTGGAAATGTTTTGCTCAAAGGAAATTTAAATATTGGGCAGTGGGCCTGGCCCAGTTTACTAAACCAAGATGAAAAAACTAGAAGGCTATGGCCAGCTAACTTGTCTGCACAAATCTGGAGTATATGAGATTCATAAAGAAATATTAGAACCATATGTGGCAAGTGGGGAGATTTGTGTAAACATGCATTGTTTTTAAAATTGAAACAGGGAAAAAAAAAAAAAAAACAGATTTTTCTTCCAAATTGGAATTAGTAAAAGTTTCTTACGAGAAAGAATAAATCAAGTCCATTTGAATTGAGCTGATTCCACTGACAACCCACACAGTTTTGTTGGGTTCATTACATGTCAACAAAATAACAGCACTAAGAGGTAAGTGCTACCCTAGGAAAAATTCAACAACAAGGCCTGCTGGTAGCCCCTCCCCTTTGCTACCCTAGACCACCTCATACAGGGAGATCTCCAAACCCGGTGTCTGTTGATACACAAAATGACAAATTAGGGGGGTTCCAGAAATGCATTTAAAAGTGTCCAAATAGTTTATTTCTTGGGCGTGAATTCTGCAAGTCAGGGGCCTCAATGCATTCCACACATGGTGGAGTCTGACAGGCCTGAAAAGGGTTCAGCTTTCATTGTGGACTAGACAGAACAACCAGATCCCTGGGTCATGTCATGTTCTACCCCTGCCACAGTCCGGCTGGAGCTGATCTATTTGCACTGCAAATGAACAAACTAATAGGAATTCCTGCCACAGACATTTGATTCTTATTATTTTGCTCTTCTTTCTTAATTTTTTTAACTGATCTGCCAGGGATCTGGGGTTGAAACAAACCTAAGGAATTTGTTCATGCTCATTGTATGACATTACCTAATTAATTCATAGCTCTGTATACCATCAGAGAAACAGGGTCGACCCCTTCTCACTTTTAGTGTTTCCTCTAATTCTATTACAAAGCAAAAGGAAATACCTGAACAAATATGAATGGAAGAAAACTAGAAATGTCACTATTAGTTTGTACTGAAACTGTACCTATTTGTAAAAAAAAATTACTAAGTTCATTAGTCAATTTAAAATGCCATATTAATTTTAAAACGAAACAAAATATGATAAGTCAAATAATTATAGAACTCCTGGCTGACCTTTCAGAAGAAGTATTCAAAGAAGGATTTTTCAAATATTGTTTAAACCGGAGTTCAAAAGCCTGCCCTATGGTACTTATGACGTCTTGGGCCATTCCATTGCTGCATTCCAATATGTGGCAGGCTGCAAGAGGACATACAAAAAAATTACAATAAATTTTCAGTAAGAGAAGATTAGATAAGTTCAAAATACTTCCAGAACATGAACTGGTAATTGAGTAAAAGTAGGTTTACAAGCTCTCTTCAGCTCTGAAATGGCATACTTCATATTTCATATGCATCAAAGAGAAGAAACATTCATATTTGACAACTAAGTATCTCAAAACACTTATAAATTTTGGCCTGGAGGCAGGTATTTGGGGCCCACATTTTAATAAAGGCAGACTGATCGTGACTAATAATGTGACCCATGTTCAGTGTTCGCTCTAGAATTCAATACAGAAGATGCTTAGGGCAGCAACCTGACGGGAAGATGAGGTTTACAGCCTTGTCTTTGCATGGTACACTACAGATGACTGAGAAAGGGTAACTCTCTAAACCTCCCCCCACAAAATGGGGGATGAGCTACTGGTGAAGAGAGGGGCTTTAGAATACCCCTTCCTCTAGCCATCCCTTTTCCCTGTCATTGCTACTAGAAAGCGGTGATGGTATGGTAATCCCTGTCTTTGAAATCCTATTACAGAACTATCTCCAGTAAACATCCAGACCAAGAGTCCATGAAGCTGACATTACTAGAAGATATTAAAAATTTTATTAGACACTTTCTTTGAAAAACAGTTACTGGAAAGGGCTAGTTATCACTAGCAAATTAAAGAAATAAATTGTGGAGGGGGCAGCTGACGGAACATCACAAACGAATTGGCACATCTGCTGCTGCTGCTTCTGTGTAAAAACCAGAGCTTGTGTTCAGGGACTATAAATTAATCTCCCCATCATATGGAATATCAGTTGCCTTCGTTAGAGTATGGTGTTGTGCTTAGGGCCTTACAATACAAAACCTGAATTGAATTTGAAGTTTCCTCAGGATGGCTTAGAAAAGAGTCATAAGGATGACTTAAAGATATAGGCAATAAAGTCTCATGAGAAATTTTTAAAACATATATTGGTTTGTATAGCCTGAAGAATTGAGGGATGAGGAAAAGCTTGATAATGGTTCAATATATACAAGAATGTTGTAAAAACTGTCAGCTATTCTCTGAGAATAGGAAAGGCTTAAGTGAGTACACAGCAAAATAGCTTAGATACCAGGGAAGCTGTGAAACGGTGGAACTGTGGAACCAACACTGGAACATTTTACTAAAAGGGATACCTGAGGAGAGGAGGATACCTGTCGTGATGGAATGATTTAACTGTGTTGACCTGGAAGCGTGATTTTAGGCTCTGCATTGTCTTGAAAAGGATTTTGTATTATTTAAAGTAAAAGAAAATTCATTCACTTCTAACTGAATTTGCAGAGCCTATAACAGTGGGTTAAGGTAGAACTTACAACGGTGTTTCCTAGCTTTATGCTGATATCATCTCAAGGAATCTCAGATAATTCTCATTTCAGAATTAGCTGAACATCTACTTAAAGAATTGATGTCTCTGAACTTTGGGAAGGGGTGTGTGTGTGTGTGTGTGTGTGCGCGCGTGTGTGTGCGTGCGTGCAGGGGGTGGCATCAGTAAGTCAAACCATGCTAAGGTGTCAAAACTCCAGAAGGGTTAATTATCATTTCTTACAAGGCTGTCCCTTTAAAGAAGCAATTTGGATCTTGAAATAGACTTAGGAGCCAGTTACAGTTTTGAAAACTCAATTAAGAATATCTATAAGTTAATATCCTTTTTACCAAAGGAAAATGTTTGGTCTGTCTTTAGACTGCCATTGTATATTGCCCCTTCTTTTTCTCTACACTAGCTCCACACAGTGACCAACACATAGAATGTGTTCTAAAAATATGTGATGAGTGAATAATTCTGATTTTTCTAATCACACCCATAATTCCACTGTGAGAAACTGTCTTCAATGTTACCATTATGGGGCAGCATCTCACAACCAGTGAGTGGTACAGATGACTGCTTGGGACATTTGTGAAAATGGTCTCCTCTTTCTTGGTCAGGCCTCATATCCTTAAACCTACAAAGCGCCCTTGGAGATGTGTCCTCTGGTGGAGCTAAAACAGTTGTGTTACGTTCTGAGAAGAAAAGGTAATTCACTTGAATTCTTTTCTTTTCATCCATAAATTCCTGGTCCAATGAAAAATGAAGTCAAGACCAGGAATCATATCAAAATGGAAACAATTTTTGTAATTTTATTTTCTCTTAGGATCAAGGAGATGTCTTGAGATAAAGATGGAAAAGATAACGAGAGAGGCAGGAAAAGGAAAGGAGGGAGGGAGGGAGGGAGGGAGGAAGACCAAAGTGTACCTCCCATGAGAGGGATGTGAGAACAAAGATGGCTGAAAAAACACTGTGAAAAGATTCAGATCCCAGTTCAAGTTCTAATTATGCCACAATCTGTGTGAATAAGGTACTCTATAGCAAGGTCCTCACCTGCCACGACAGGGCCCTGTGTGATCTCTGAATCCCTTCTTGCTTTATAGAAATCCTATCCTCCCTCAGTCGCAGTAGCTTAAACCCTCTGAGGTACCGGGCAAGGCACATGGGCACAGGAATGAATGAATCAACCCACCCACTAACTGTCCTCTACCGCTTCTCATGTACTTCTAAAATGTTTATTTCTCTCAACTTTGCTGACTCTGATACTTGAGGTTTTTGTCCTGTTCCTGGGCTGATGCTACCAACACACTTTCTGCTTTGCTCTGGATGACCTTATTGCTGTCATATTACTTTTTTTTTGGATTAAACAGAAAAAAAAGAAAACACAGTGGTGCCTATCTCCATGAAAGAAACAACTGGACAAAAAGTCTGACCCTGTGCAGGTGTCCTGTGCAGCCTCACCAACTTCAGGGAACACACACATTTTGATGGTGCTCTCGTTGCCCCTCACATGCTGCTCTGTGAAAATGCTCTTTGTTCTTTTCTAGGTTGGTCATGAGCCAGAATAGGAACGGGTTTGCCCCCTTTCCCAGGGCTAAACCCATCTCCAAAAATTCAGATAAGCACCAGCTTAGCCAGGAATTTCCCAATCTTTAGCTAATGGGAAGGAAGAAAGACAGCATATAAAAAGTCCCAATTCCCCAAGAAAGGATTTGACTTTCCAGCGATATGATAATTTTGCATGGAGGCCTGAGCCTTGATCTCCATATCTGGAATCAGAAACACACCTGGGTTCTTTTCATCCTGCCTTGTAGCCAGATAGACCTACAATTCTATTCTTAGTATCAGGTACTGTACTATATTAAGTAAGATTTAAAAGAATCTTGGATTTTTATTCTTCTGTCGTTTTCACGTGGTTTCCTAATTGGATAGTCATGGACAAGAGGCTGAAAACAATTCTTCAAGAATAACAGGCCCTTCTTTATTGTTTTATATTTAAATGGACCAGTTTTATTGTTTTCGTTGCTCGTTTGCTTGCTGCTTTTGGTTTTTATCAGAAAATTAGAAATTCAAGAGTGCAGCTTCTCAGATCAACCACCAGATGGTGCTGTGGGACTGAAGCGCGGAGCCTACCACCCCTTAGGAAGAAACCAGCCTGAAGAAGCTAGCCTGCCGTCCAGTCCATAGTTTCAGAATGTCACTAGGACCGTAACGCATGTATTTTATAACCATAAATATACATAATTGGGTTAATTTAAATTGGTTTTACAGTGTTCTTTTGTTTTGTTTTGGTTTGGTTTTTTTTTTTTTTGCTTTCTTTTGGTTTTGGGTTTTTTTTTGCTTTCTTCAGAGACTCAGGACCATGGCCTTCCTATATCCAGGTAGTTCAGGTAAACTGGGACCTCTTCACAGACTAGATTCAGAGAAAATATTTAAGCCTTTCTGGACTGTACACATTTGGAGTAAGAAGTGAAGAGATTTCCTCATTTACAGCAATTACAGGGGCAGGCTGTATTAGTCACTAGGTAAACTCAAAATACTCTTACTGGAACTTACCTTTTCTACAGAAAAGGCCTTTTATAGAATAAGGGGTTCACTAAAGAGTCCTAGCCAAGATGGAAAAAGTGGCAGCTTCCCTGCCTTGAACGCACTAATGCTACAAGTGAATCAAGCAGATGGGAGACAGTGGGAGCATTCAGGATTATTAGCATGAAGCCTGGCTCCGCCCGGCTCTCCTCATCCCTGAGGTCTGGCTCCTGCCTTGACCCATGCACTGACACGCTGTGCTTCCCATGGTGACCAGTGGCCTGTCAACTGCTGGACTGAATGGCATTTTCTACCTCCATTGCCCTTAACTCTTCTTCAGTCTGAGACATTCCCAGGTTCTTCTCCCAGAGAAACTGCTCTTCATGCATCTTAGCGGATACTCATCTCTTGGTCTTCTCCCACTCCCTGAGACCCTCAGCCTTCTTCTTTCTGGGTTCTTCCTTCAGTGATCTAGCTCACCCTTAGGGCTAAGAAGCTGCAGCTTTTCCAAACCTGCACCAGAAGGCCTGTCTCTCCTCAGGCCCCACAAACCTCTGGGCGTCTCCTTTCTACTGAACATTTTCCCCTGGATGAACCAAACTCACCAGCGAAGTTTATAACATTGTCTTTCTGATTTCACTGTTTTTTTGTATTTATTCAAGGATTCAGAACATTCTTTTCTTTTTACTAATGTAATAAATATTCATTATAGTAGTTTTAGAAAACAGAAAGACTCTAGGAAATAAAAATTACATAAGTCTCACTATCCAGGAATAACTACATACTATTAACATTTTGGCATGTGTCTTTCCAGTCTTTTTCTCTTTTACATCTTTATTGGAGTATAATTGCTTTACAGTGTTCTGTTAGTTTCTGCTGTATAATAAAGCGAATCGGCTCTACGTATACACATATCCCCATATCCCCTCCCTCTTGAGCCACCCTCCCACCCTCCCTATCCCACCCCTCTAGGTGGTCACGAAGCACCGAGCTGATCTCCCTGTGCTATGCAGCTGCTTCTCACTAGCGATCTGTTTTACATTTGGTAGTGTACATATGTCCATGCCACTCTCTCACTTCATCCCAGCTTCCCCTTCCCCTTCCCCCACCTCTGTCCTCAAGTCTGTTTCTCTACGTCTGTGTCTTTATTCCTGTTCTGCCCCTAGGTTCAACAGAACCATTTTTTTTTTTAGATTCCATATATACGTGTTAGCATACGGTATTTGTTTTTCTCTTTCTGACTTACTTCACTCTGTATGACAGACTCTAGGTCCGTCCACCTCACTACAAATAACTCAATTTTGTTTCTTTTTATGGCTGAGTAATATTCCGTTGTATATATGTGCCACATCTTGTCTTTCCTATCTTTTTTCCAAAAAATTACCTGGAATCATACCATACACATTGTTTCATAATCTGCTTTTTGTACTCAATAACATTAATTGCTGCATGGTAGTACAGTCTATGGATTCATTTAAATAACTTGCTAGTTATGAATACTGAATTTTCTTTTTCCTATTGTATCAATAACATATGACAGTGATCTTTACTGCTTAATCTTTGTGCATGGCTTATTTCCTTAGAAGTGAAGTTGCTGGTTCAAAAGTGTTTACCTTTTTGAAAGTTTGATGCAAATTGTCAGTTTGCTCTCTGAAACATTTGGATCTGCAGTGTTCAAGAGTTACTACTACTCTAAATCACGTTTTACCTTTTATCAAAGACAAAGTATGATATCTAATTATAATTTGTGTTTCTTTGATTACTAGTAAGGTTAAAGTTGTTTTTTGTTTTTTGTTTTTATGTTTCTCGGTGCCTTGTAATCTTCTTTTGTAAATGTGTGCTCCAGACCTGGAGTCGGTCCAGGTACTTACTGGCTGGGTGAGCTTAGTAAAACCATCTTTTCTCAATTCCAGAGTTTGCTTCTACAAAAAATGAGTAACATTAATACCTACCTCATAGGATTGTTGTGAGGTTGAAATGAGACCATGCAGACTAAATACTCTTGATAATGCCTGGCATGTGGTGAGCACGCAGTAAGTAACTTTCTTGTTCTTATTTCTCTATTGGATTGCTTTTCCTATTTGTAAAAATCCCTGTTTCTTTAGTGCACACCACTTCAAATCGCTCAGGACAATAATAATAATGCCTATCATTTATAGCATACTTATAATGAGCCAGGCACTGAGAGATTTGCATTGCATATAATATCTCATTAAATCCTCAGGATCATCTGATTTCTTTTTTTTTTTTTTATCAATGCTCGTAGCTAAATAGCTCCCAAGTACTATTAGTTCACAATTTTGTCCAGACCGTCCCTTCTTCCCCCAGTGCAGTTTAAAGCATCATCACCCCTGCCCAGGACCAATGAGACGTCCTCCAAATTGGACTCTACAATTCCAGACTGCTTTCCTGCCCTCCAATATCACCTTCACAGATATAAAGGCCAGAAAAATTATCATTTTTTAATTTCAGTAGAATGGCAGAAGCCAGGATAATTTTTTATAAAGCTCAAAATCTTCAACAGCTCCCAGTGACCTCTTGGCTGGCATTCAAAGCCTCCACAATCTCCCTACCTTTTCAGCCATGGCTCCCCTACTTCCACTCTTTGCTTTCCCTGCAATCCCACCTTTACCCACCATCCAAACCCACAGCCCCAAGCTCTCACTGCACAGCTCTTCCACCTGCGCCTTTATTCACTTATTGCACAAAGCCTACCTGGGCACCTGCCAGGCTCCAGGCACTATTCCCTATGCTCCCCTACTTCTCCTGCACACCCTACAGCTTCTGTTTCTCTCCCCCGTGATGATGAGCCCATGGTGGCCAGGAATTATTTTTCTCCCACGACAATTACCTCAGCCCGTTGTAAATTAGTATGTAATTAATAATTATTTGTGGACTCAAGAGCTGTGTTGGTACTTCTGTACAGAAATTAAAGTCCAGAGGCTCAGGTGAGGGGGAAGGATTTAACACTAGAGGGATGTGCAAGCAGTGGGTATGTCGTGAACAGAGTGGCTTCTCGCAGAAGGCTTCCCAACCAAGATAAACAAGAGAAGGGGTGAGGGGACAAGAAAAGGAGTGATGAGGAGATACTAACTTTTTTGCCCAAGAAAATCACCGTAGATTTCTAAGTCATCTAGCTACTCAACAGAACTGGTTCCCTAAAGAAGAAAGATGAGAAGAGACTGTAAAGGAAATGATGCTTTCCCCGTATTACCTCAGTTACTCCTCCCAATAACACGAGCAAGTAGATGTTATTTCTCCCACTTAAAGAAACTGAGGTTCAGGACGTGAAACAGCTTGGCTGAGGCCTATGGTGAGATGGGGGAAGAATTATGATTCCCACCCAGACTGTCTGACTCCAGCACCTTTCCTACTTCCTATACACGGGCTGGGGACTAAAAAAAGAAAACAATGAAACCTCTATTTGAACCATTTCTGAATCTATTCTCAACTCTCAAATCCCATCCATGAGCTCAGTCAATAGTTCTCCTAAATGCCTTTGCAGAATCCCCAGGCCGGGATCCCCGTGGATCCCCTTCTAGCAACTCAGCTCTGATGAACTACTCGGACACCACAACAGGAGATTTCAAAGTGAACAAGTTATGGAATTTAAGAAAAAAAAAATGTCATGAAGAACCTAGGGGTAAGACAGGAATAAAGACACAGACCTACTAGAGAATGGACTTGAGGATACGGGGAGGGGGAAGGGGAAGCTGTGACAAAGCGAGAGAGAGGCATGGACATATATACACTACCAAACGTAAGGTAGATAGCTAGTGGGAAGCAGCTGCATAGCACAAGGAGATCAGCTCGGTGCTTTGTGACCGCCTGGAAGGGTGGGATAGGGAGGGTGGGAGGGAGGGAGACACAAGAGGGAAGAGATATGGGAACATATGTATATGTATAACTGATTCACTTTGTTATAAAGCAGAAACTAACACACCATTGTAAAGCAATTATACTCCAATAAAGATGTAAAAAAAAAAAAAGTGAACAAGTTGCATCGTATTTGCTCTGCCTCTCGTATTTCACTTAAGCAAGCAGGGAGATTTGCAAGCATGTGGATCCTGCTCACCGTTAGCCTCAGCAAGGAGCAGAATCTTTGAACGCCTCCTGCTGTTTACTGAAGAGCAATGACATGCCTGAGATATTCAGTGACTGATGGAAAAGTTACTAAACATCTGGATTTCCTGAGCTATTTGCTCTTCCCTTCACCCTGCCCTTTTCAGGTTGAGAGAAAGGGCTTTGTTGTTCAGAGACCTTCCCAAAAATAGCATACTTTTATTCTTTAGGGAAGCTCAGGCCTGATTAAAAGAGGTTGCTCTGCTGGTATCCTTTGTTGTGTTCTGTTCCTACTCCCCCCCCACCGTTTCCCCTTCACTAGTTCCTGTCTCTTCTATCTACTCTTTGAGCAATATCCATTCTTTATTATGTAGTTTAGAGTCTATTTTAATGCAGTATTGCACAGTTTTTATCACCTGTTCCTTCTTTCCATCTCATCGAGCCATGTTCTCTTGGCCTGCATTTACTGAGAATCTACTCTGTGCCAGGTCCTATGCCAGCAGCTGGTCTTCATAATTTCATTTCTGACAATCACGATAGCTTCTAGATTGACCTCCCTCCCTCCCTGAATCCATCTACTGCATCCTGCTGCCAAACCAACCTTCCTAAATCTCTGTTTTATAAACAGCCTTCTCCACCCTTTGGCCCATAGGAATAAGTTCCTACTTATTAGCTCTCTCCTATCTGCCCTCTAGATGCCCTTTTGCCTTTTTTCTCCTCCAAACACAATCTGCATTCTAGTGTTTTATTCACCTGTCCCCAGTATACCACGCACATTTCCGCCTCTGTGTCTTTAGAGCTCTTTGAATTTCCAAATTCCACTCCATGTGTACTTAATAAATATTTGGGGGGCAAACTCCACCCCTGCGGTGACAGGGGATGCTGCTCTAGGCTCTAATTAAGGAGGAGAAGCAACCTGACACTCATCCCTATGAGGAGTCTGAATGTCCCAGAGTTAGGAATGAGAAGCAACACTCTGCATGTCTGTCTGCAGAGGCTCAATGGCCTAACTTCAGGCCCCTGATCCGAAGTGGGGCTGGAAGGTGAGTTTCTTAGGTAACCTTGCCAAATCCTGGGATAAGACAACTAATCAACTCACTCTTCCATTCGCTCAGTCATTCAACAAAAGTAGTTATGGAACATCACCTATGTGCAAGGCATTGTGATGAGTGCTTGGGAAACAACGGTGAGTAAGATAAACAGGTTCCTGCCCTCCAGGAGCTTTCAGTAGAAAGGAAAGACGCTAAACACATAAACAAGTGAGTAAATAAAATAACAGAAGCGTGGGATGACTGTCAACAGAAGAGAAATAAAGTATCATGACACAGCAGAGTGGCATACACTACTGGAGATGGTAGTATATGAGTCAAAGAAGGTCTCTCTGAAGAAGAGACATTTAAACTGAGATCCAGAAGATGAGAAAATGCCAGACAGAGTGACATGCCAGGCTCCTGAACAGCAAGTGCACAGGCTCAATGCATATAAACACACACACACACACACACACACACACACACACACACTCGCCAAGGCCACTGCAGGCCAATGACGTCACTGGTTTCTGTCTCAAGGGTAACTCATTTGTCCGCTGGGGATGTGGCAGCCAGCCCCATCTATTATAACCAAAACAGCTTCTCTTTCGCTTATACAAATAGATGATAAGCCTTTTGGTGTATGGGATGTAAATGGCTCAAATGACTGGTGGGATTTAAATCCCACCTATATATTTTTTCTACTGTGCTCTGGTAGCAGGGCTATTTATTTCAAACTCAGAGTTACTTAATATTTCTAGACCCCAGTATAGCATTCTAGTGACTCTCATCACTTTGCATATTGAAAATAACTGCTTGTTACTTTTTAAAGTTGGTATATACCAGCTCTTAAGAAAATCTAGAAGTTGCTTTCCATACCTCGTTGATTAACTGGATCTTTAGCTACGTAGGCAACATAGTCTGTAGTATCCTATAAAAAAGGGAAAATGATTGCATTTAAAATGAATGCATTGTTACTGTTGAATGATAAGAGTACATTTAGGATACGATACTCAGGCAAGGACCGATACTAAGGTTTCTGTTCAAAGAGCAAAGGAAAGCCATCCTAGGAGGGAACATAAACAAATATACACTATATATTTAGCAACTGTGTGTGGAGTCCACATTCTCTGCCCCTTGGGGAGAGAATTTGAAGATTAAAAATTTAGAGGCAGACCATGCCACTAAGAACAAAAGAGAATGCAGTAGGAAATATGTTAGGACAAACATTCACAAAAAAATGGTTAGGAACTATAACTCTCCTGTGTTGAAAGTTGAAATACCAGGGGTTACGCAGTCACAAAGGTGTCACAGACTAGGATGTGGCACCATGATTTCCCTGCTGTCCAAACAGATACCACATACATCAGAAAATAAGTTGATTAAAGAGACATGGGTTTTATGGTTGTTAGCTTGCCTGTGTGCAGTGCAACTTAGGGAATAAGAGGGCAAAAATACAAGGCATTTATTTGATCAATATATAGAAAGGAGAGATCATTTTTGAGAAAGAGAACCCATGAAAAACCTAAGGAGTTCAAAAAGAGATGTGTTGCAAACTAGTGCTTACTAGTGGAGGAGGGGCAGGTGGGCAATACAGGGGTCAGATACAGGGGGAATACAGGGGGAATGGAGCCAATATTTTGTAGTAAGTGTAAATGGACTTTACCTTTAAAAATTGTATAAAAAACTTTAAAAGAAAGATAATAGCACCATTTAAACTTATGTTAAAAAAAGAGATGTTGCTGGCTTTGGAAGAACAAATAAACAAAAAGCTACTTGGTAATTCTGACTTTTATTGAAAACAGTATGCTGATGAATGAGATTTTAATAATTAAAGATGCTTTTTGTTATCTCAGTTCTCAGGGAAAAAAAATACACACAATGCCATTTGCAGATTGGAAGTATGACTCTCTAGAGGAAAGATGCAGTCAACTGGCAGGAAATAAAAGCCCATGTTTGTAATACCCTCAAGGACAATCACTTAATAACCCACAATGAATCATACAGGAAACGGATCTCAGGGCCAGCATAACTTGCCTTCAGTTATTTTAAAAAATAACACACACCTAAGTAAATCTCTCTTATGCAAAAAGACAAAAGATTTGAAATATCTTATAAATAAATAAGGTCATATCTATGAGCTTTACATTATATAATTTAGAAGCAAAGCCACAACTGCCAGGGGCTTCGCTGCTCATTTTAAAGTTGACGAGGTGGCATGATGCTAGCAATGTTGTCTGCTATATTAGTTGATGGGAAAGAGGTCATGGGGCCTCTCCAGACCTCAGTTTCCTCATCTTCAAGAGAGTCTCCAACATTCTCACAGTCCTAAAATTCTATAACTGTAAATATCTAGGAGAATTTAAAGGATGTTAAAAGTAAAGCACAAATAGTGGGGGGGAAATCTGAGAAATATATTTAATTTTGACATACTCATAATGCATTCTTGAGATGAAGAAAGCATATACAGACACAGAAGCATTACCAAGAACTGCCTTCAGGGCTGAAAGAAGGAAGACAAGCAAACTGTTTATGAGACGAGAGTAAAAGTGAGGGTGAGCAGCGTGGAGAGGTGAGAGGAACACCCAGTATTTTTGAAACTTTGGAGGGACAATGGTAGAAAGAATGGGTACTACATTGGGCCACGGAGACTTCTGGTTGCCTACCCCTTGGACCGTTATCTGATGTGAAGCTGTAAATTATCTCAGTGAGTGTCCTAAGAAAATACAGACATGTGTTAGCAACAGTGGTGACAGTTATCACTCCGTGCCAGGCACTGCGCTAGCAGTTTACATGCACCATTTCACTTAATTCTCACAGCACTTGAGGCAAGGGTGATCATTCCCCATTTTACGGATGAGGACCCTGAAGTTTAGAGTCTAAATAAGTCAAGTCTTACTTGACTCCAGAGCCTGGCACTCCACCATTCTGCCTCCCTGACCTGAGGGTAGAACTTCACTCGGGGGACCTCTAATGCCAAGGCTTCTGGTCACTCCAGTTTTCTATTTAAAACCAGCAGGATTTCTCTCCAGCTGCAGAGAGCACAAGGGTGCCACTCAATTCAGTAGGTACAAACTCTCCCACAGTGGCTACAATTCTTTCCTGTTTTTCTTTGTAGGGGCAGTGCTTTGGTTGGTCAAAAGAAATAAAGAACTGAAGGCACAAAAAGACAGTCTAAAAAGAATCAGGATTCTGGAGAACTATGGTAGACACCATGCAGGGCATGCCTAGGGTAAAATAAAGATTTTCATACCAATTCTAAAATGACAGCAACCATTGAAACTTGAAAAGGAAAATTTAGGGCAAACAGCAACAATTATTTTTCACACTACTCTTATAGAACTCATTACTTTAAATTGCTTAAGGAAAGTATTCGAGTTCCTTCATGGATGGTTGAGTTATAATGGGTTAGGAAGAGAAGTAACAGACAATGTGGGCCTTTTCAGACTGGCAGTCAACCCTCTCTGCTACCAAACACGTCCTTGGAGTCGCTGTTGAAGCCAGATTACAAGGCCAGATGGAGGGCGGATATAGAGGACCTGGGGTTATGGAGGGCCCACAGTAAGTCATATGAAGATTTTTGACTTGGTGGAAGATTGGGGCCTCTAATCCCTGCATTGTTCAAGGGTCAACTCTATATTTCAAGGTACAAGAAAAATGTCACAATGTCACAGAGGAGCAAAACCCTCCTCCTCCTCCCTCAGTTTAAACAGATTTGTTTCTTGGTCAGTCACAGGCTTCCTAGCTTCAATGACCCTCTCCTTTTGCTCTGGGCCACAGCGGATGCAGTTGGAGGTCAGGGAATGACCCTCCACTCTGCAAAGAAGGCTTGGAGGGACAGCACTGACTCAGTCCCGCACAATTCATGGGAAATGAGCATCACATGGCCTCTTGGTAGGGAGGAACTGCAAGTTTTCTCTCCCCAGCTCAGCGTTCCCTCCATGAGTTTCTGCAAACCTAGTTGCTCGTTTCGGATTAGATTTAGTTGCCCTGGTTGACGGCCAGAATGGCAAATAGGCTTCCCCTCGTATACCAAATCCAGTTGATTAGTAGGATCTGCCTGGAACCCTGTGTTGCAAAGAATTCTGAGGGAGGACCGGCAAAACACATATGACATGCTTGTTTTTTATGAACTGGATATTATCTACAAGAAGCTTCTCAGATAATAACACAATGGAGTATTATAAATTCATCTACTAATCCAAATACTTAAAAAAAAAATCAGTGACAGGCAATACTCTGTCAAAACCAAATTTTTGATTACCAGCTACAGGTGGCTGTTCACAAACTGTAATAAGATATTTGGAAGCGACAGGTAGTGGCTAATATGCTTTACATGGAAGTTCTTTTAACTCTTATAAAAAGATTTTTTTTTTTTTTTTTTTTTTTTTTTTTTTTTGCGGTAAGCAGGCCTCCCACAGCTGAGGCCCCTCCCGCCGCGGAGCACAGGCTCCAGACGCGCAGGCCCAGCGGCCAACGGCCCACGGGCCCAGCCGCTCCGTGGCACAAAAGAACTTTTATGAATTCATACTTACCGGATCCCCTCCAGAAGCAAATGAAATAGACTGCATATGATGATTTGCAATAATCTGGAAAACATAAACAAATTAAACATGTATAATGCTAGAAACTAATTATACCTAGTTATTACATACCATCTAACAGTAACGTACATACATTGGCTTGTTTTGCTTTTACCTGCTCGGCATGCCTTGGGAAACCACTCCACCCACTTTCTATAATAATCTCACTTACACCATGAGGTTCAGGTAGGTTTGAGACGCCCATCTCACTACCCCTCTCCTTGCATCTGGATACATGATCCAGGCCTAGCCAATCACAAAACACCATCCCGCTGGATACAGCAAAGTCAATCAACATCTTTGGGGAGGAACTGAGATGAATAATAGAATGCATCTCTCCCTGCCATTTAAGACCTTAGTATAAGCCCAAAGCTTCTAGGAGCCATCTTTTGCTGCCATGTGGGAAAAGCCTGCTGGAAAATGAAGCTTTCCCTCTGGAGAAAAATCAGAGCTGAGAGTTAAAAACAGTCAAAAGTCAGGGGATAATGTGTGTTTCATCAGTTCAACCAATACATTCCCCCCATCCCTTTATGTTTTTATGTATTTTTTCTATTTTATTTATTTAATTTTATATAAGTTAGTTTGAATTGAGTTTCAGTCATCTGCCAACCAAAAGTATTCTTACGAAGGCACTAATATTAAGACTTTCGATATGAAGTAAGACTATTCAAGTGAACTGCGTTAGTTAGCCAAGAAGATTGTCTCTTTTACTTGAGATTCTAGGCTTGCTTATTTGGAAACCACAGTGTAACGACCAATTTGCAGAGATGTATTTGTCATACTGTTTCGAGGGTTCATTAAAACAACGACACACCAATTGGCTCATCCTGTCTTCAGATTTGCTTAACAGAATCTACTGAAGCTGCTTACATATGATGACCAAGAAATCCTACTCTTAGATGTATATCCAAAAGAACTGTGTAAATACGTACACCAAAAGATCTTCTCAATAAGGATAATCACTGCCCTGTTCACAATAGTCCCAAATTGGAAACAATCCCAATAATGATCATTGTGGTATTCAAACAAGGGGCTACTACATAGCAACAATATATTTCTCGGGCAAAAAGAAGCCTGTCACAAAGATTGTATACTGCACAGTTGAATTTATATCAAGTTCAAAAGCAGGCAAAAGTATTTTATTCTGTTTGCGGTCAGCATAGTGGTGACTTTTGGTGCAAAGGAAGAGAAAGCAAGTGGTTTTCTAGAATCTTGCAAATGGTGTTCCTTGATCTGGGTAGTGGTTATACAAACATGTTCATTTTGTGATAATCAAGCTATACACTTATGATTTGTGCACTACTCTATATTTATGTTTTCTATATTTATGTTTCAGTTTAAAATGATTACTAAAAACAAAATCAATACACAGATTTCAATGTCATTCCCATGTATCAGCAATAGCCACTTTGACACTGCATGGGGGAGAGGGGGAAGGTACATTTTACAAGAGAACCTAAGTATAAAACTAATAAGAATCACATAAGACTTTTTGGAAAACTTCATTGAAGGGTACAAATAAGACCTGAACAAGTAGAAAGACATATATCACTTTTATGGATGAGAAGACAATACCGTAAAGATGTCAATTCTCCCCCAACTTAATCTATAAATTCCATGCAATTCCAATAAAAATTCCACCAATGCCATTCAGGGAACTTTTCAAACTATTTCTAAAATTCACATTGGAAGAATAAATGTGCAAGAAGAGCTAAGGCAATTTTTTTAAAGGACAAAGAGACAAGATTTTCCTTATTATTAAGACATATTATAAAACTATAGAAATTCATTAGACTACAAAGTCTAAAAACAGATTGACACTTTTGTGGTCTTTTAGTCTATGATAGATGTGGCACCAAATAGCAGACAAAAGGACAAGTGATTAAATTAGCGGAGGTACCTGAATTAGCTACATATATAAAAAAATATATAAATAAATCCTGTCCTCATGCTATTTATAAATAAATGTGTGATCCATAAAAGATCTATACAAACATTAGAAGACAGATAAAAGATTATGCTTATGATTTCTGAGGTAGGTAAATCCATCTTAATAGAAAGAAAAAGACAGGAAAGAAACCCTTAGATTTGATTGCATGAAAAGCCATTTTTAAACTTTTGTATAAGACCCCCAAAACAAGAAACAAGAGGGAGAATATATTTGTAACATGTGAAACAAAGTATTCATATACAGAGTTTATAAGAAATTCCTATATCAATAAGAAAAAGAAATAAACCCAAAATAAGACCATTTAATTTTCAGAAGTAATACTGATAGAAATGGTCAATAAACATATTGAAAGATAATCTCCAATAAATTAAGGCTATAAAAAATAAAACAAGACGGCATTAAACGGATAAAATTGTTAAAGTTCAACAAAATCATGTCTGGTAACGGTGTGGATATTCTCAGACACCGCTGGCTAGAGCTTAAATTTGTACAGCAACTTTGAGAGCAATTTGACATTCACTAAAAACCAAAGTATGCATACCCCAAAATTCCACCTTTGCACTTCTAGGTTTTTATTCTAGAAAAATACTGGCACATGTGGATGTTCAATTACGCATAGTTTATAATATCAAAATATAGAAAGTTATTTGTGCATAGTTAGGTCAACTACAGTATAGCTATACAAATAGAATAGTATGAAAAAATATATGTCTATGTATACTAACAGGTAAATCTTCAAGACATTGATGAGGGTTTTTTGTTTGTTTGCTTATTTTGTCAGTTGAAGACAATTACGTAAGACACGTAAAAAAAATAAGATTTTTTTTCCACGAGGACATAAAGATTCATGTAAACGTAAAGAAAAAGGGTTTAAAGAATACACACCAAACTGGTAACAGTGTACCTTTATCTCCTGCGAAATGCAATGGGACTATGTATTTCTTGTCTGTTTTTTTAAAGAACACCGATAATATGCTTATTTGTGAATTTAACTTTTTTTAAAATGAGAAAAACAGGAGAGATGAATGGATAAATTCTAAATATGTTGATCTGCGGTTGAGAACTTCGTGTGGTTTGGAACTGCGGATTTAGCGGTCATTAGCGCACAGATAAAAGACAGATAAAACCGTGGAAGAGACGCGACTGCCTGGGGATGGGGGATAGAACAGGCGCAGAAAGAGGGAGAGAAAGGAGGGGGGCGATGAGGGAGGAGGAGTACGGGGTCTTACAGAGCCATGTATTTTCAAGCTTATCGCATCATAAGCAGCAGAACGGTTAGGTAAGGCAGTGGCCAAGCAATGCTCTTGCACGTACAGCATCTAGGTCTGAAGTTCGAACGCACGGAAAGCCGACCAGCGAGCCCCGGGAACATTCCCGGGGTGGAACTGCGAGCTGCCGGCCCCCAAACAGCGCTCCGAGGGGTAGGCGGTGTCTGGGGGTCGCGCACACGCACAAGGTCACGCAAGCGCACGGTGCTTGCGCAAGCGCACAACCGCACGGCCGCGTAGCTCCGATCTTGCCGAAAACGCCTTGCGGGGAGGTTGAGCCGCTTGCACAATGTCTGAAATGAACGAGCTGTCCGAGCTCTATGAGGAAAGCAATGACCTGCAGATGGATGTGATGCCTGGCGAGAGTGACCTTCCGCAGATGGAGGTAGGCGGCGGGAGCCGGGAGCCATCCCTGAACCCCTCCCGCGCCGGGGCCCAGCCACAGCTGGAGGAGGAAGGCCCGATGGAGGAGGAGGCCGCCCAGCCAATGGCGGAGCCGCTGGGGCAGCGAGGCCTCGCTAGCCGGCCCGGCCCTGGGGAGCAGCCAGGCCAGATCGCGGGCCCTGATTTCGAGAGCGAGGACGAGGGCGAGGAATTCGATGACTGGGAGGACGACTGCGACTATCCGGAAGAGGAGCAGCTGAGTGGTGCAGGCTACAGAGTATCAGCGGCCCTTGAAGAAGCCAACAAGATGTTTTTGAGAACCTCCAGAGCAAGAGAAGCAGCTCTGGATGGCGGGTTTCAGATGCATTATGAGAAGACCCCGTTTGATCAGTTGGCTTTTATCGAAGAGCTTTTTTCACTCATGGTTGTCAATCGTCTGACCGAAGAGCTCGGCTGTGATGAGATTATTGATAGAGAGTAGTTAAACGCTGTGAAGAGAGGAGGAAACTACTTGAGGAGAGACCTGGCATTCCACTGTCTCTTGGGTTCATTCCAAATAGTTCCGTGCCAATGAAAAACTTGGTCTTCAAAAAAAAAAAATTTTTTTTTTTTGTAGAATAAAGTAGCGACTGCACAGTTATGAAAAAGGAAATTGTTAAAGAAAAGGATCTAAATACTGTTGAAACCTGTTTTCAAGAATGTCCTGAAACATTTATGGCTTTGACTTTGTTATTGATCCAGATTAATTTCCTTGCATTGAGGAAAATATATGTTCCTGTAAGGGATGGCTTTGCAAGAGTAAGTCATGACCAAGACAGACTGCCAGTACAAGAGCCCACTGATATTAATTATATGCGAAAAAGTAACTAATTTATCCAGCTTAGGACATGAGATGTTTTTTGAGTTATTTGGACTGAAAGCATATCGAGAAAACTGTCAGGTTCCGTTTTGTGATCTATCCAAGCCGTGGTTATCAAAAGCTAAATTTTTAGTGTAAAATAAATCGAGTATTCTTCAGTATCCCGAAAGGATAATCAAACCCCAAAAGAAATATGTATCATGTGTGCTATATCTTAAAATGTGTTTCCAAGAGCATCTGAGATTTGTTTGTACATGTATCTTGATCATTTTTAAAGCTACTGTAACCTTTAATTCAAGAAAATTCATTGTCTTGGACATTTTTAAAAGTCAAAAATTAAGATGTCCTTAATAATTAAGTTTCAAATGTAGACATTAATGTGTATGTGAAAGTACAAAGAAAACACACTATTTCTAACATCCATATATACTAGAGAAATATTGTGTTTTACTTGCTCTCTGTTTTTCATTTTTTACAGGCAAAAGACTCTGGTTGAACTTCATAATGTAAGAACTGTTAAGTGAAAATTGTCCAGTAAAAGGAAAGCCCTACACCTAAAAAAGACTTCATGAACAACCCTTAAAGGTTTTAAACCTGCCCAGAAATCCACCTCGGTATCTGAAGTTTCCCTCTGTCTCCTCCTCTAATTAAGCTTGTTAGTGGTTATGCACCAGCATTGGGGATAATAAAAATTTCTTGTTCTGTGTATTTTGTTTGGCTAATGGTATTGCATACATACTTTCTCTAATACTACTTCTTATTGTGTTATACTGGTTTTATTGTATGATTGCAATCACCTTATGATTTAAACTTAATGACTATAAGGGAACGTGCTCCAGCTTCAAATACCGGATTACAAATTAATTGGTGGAAATTAAACTTAGTAAATTCCTATAAGAGAATTTGCCAACCTGGGAAAAACTGCCAAATCAGTAAGGATGTTACTGTGGTTCTTAAGATGTTAATGTTCTCTGTGAATAATAATTAGTCAGGAGGCTGTGCCCAGTAAAACTGAATATACCAACAGGTCTTAGGATCAGCAAAAAGGTACCAGATGTTTTTGCTCCATTATGGCAGTAAAGGACACATCCAATACAGCAGGACAACTTGGAGCCTTATTTATGTTAACAGTCATCCTGTCTTTTAGGGAGGGGGGTTCTTTTCTGTAAAATATAGGACTGACAGGCTTCCCTGGTGGCACAGTGGTTGAGAGTCCGCCTGCCGATGCAGGGGACACGGGTTCGTGCCCCGGTCCAGGAAGATCCCACATGCTGCGGAGCGGCTGGGCCCGTGAGCCATGGCCGCTGAGCCTGCACGTCTGGAGCCTGTGCTCCACAATGGGAAAGGCCACAACAGTGAGAGGCCCGCGTACCGCAAAAAAAAAAAAAAAAAAAAATAGGACTGATAAGTAAGGATGATCATAACTCAGACATGAGCTTGGCAGGGAGAGGAGTGATAGATGGGCAAACACTAGATAGGAGATTAAGTGTTGGCACTTAAAACATCTTAATCCTGCTTCCTCTCACACGGCTCACTTCTTTCATTGCATTTTCAAACAGCTTGTAGATGCAGTTATGAGTCTGGATACATAACTGCTTGTGTGATGTGAATTAACAGGACTCTGGACAAAGAATTAAAAGGGTGCCAGTATACATGAACTGACTAGTTGCATTTACCTCCAGATAAAGATGACGGGAAATAGGTTCAGAAAAAAACAGATCTATAAACCAGGAAGTGTAATTCTCTTTCTCTTAGGGAGCAAGTAGGAAGCAAGAGGAGGGGGAAAGAAAACCACTCCCTGTTGGGTTTGAAGGCTCATTTTGGGGAGAAAGACCTGGACTCTCTCACTCCTCTGATGGTAGGTTTGTTGGTCTTAAAAGTAGGCAGGGGGCTTCCCTGGTGGTGCAGTGGTTGAGAGTCCACCTGCCGATGCAGGGGACACGGGTTCGTGCCCCGGTCCGGGAAGATCCCACATGCCGCGGAGCGGCTGGGCCCGTGAGCCATGGCCGCTGAGCCTGCGTGTCCGGAGCCTGTGCTCCGCAATGGGAGAGGCCACAACAGTGAGAGGCCCGCGTACCGCAAAAAAAAACAAACTAGGCAATAACCTGAGAGACCACTGAAATTAATACTTGTTAATATTTACTAAAGGTAGGAAATGGTAACATTTTTAAATGTTACAGTTAAATCACAGACTGGAACCAGCCTACCTGATTCAAATCTGGGCTCCACTGCTTATAGCTCTGTAACTGAGTAGATTAATCTCTCTGCCTCAGGATCCTGAACTGAAAATAAGGATAATTGGATGAACCTTATACATGGTGAGGATTAACTGAAGATATACACACATCTATATAAACAGATACACTAAAGAAAGGAGTTCTGGGGACGTTGTAATCCTGATTCTCTGATGGGGGGAGAGGATGGGGATGTGGAATGGGGAGAGTTAACTTAAACTTCTGAGTGTGTAGTGTAATTTGTGCAGAGCTTTCTAGGTCTATCCATAGTTACTTTAAATGTTTGCTTAGATCAGATGTCCCACATTGGCTCATCTCAAGAACGCCTCTATTTTGTTTGGCTCATGCTTATAATTTTCATTTCTTAATTAAAGACCAACATCTCATAATCCAGAGAGAGCAGCAAAACTGCCAGATTTTCATCTTCTTTTTTTTTTTCCCCAAAAGTGGAAGACCTGGCAGCCCTTGACCTATAGTCCCATCGGAAGCATCTGATTGGCCTTTACACAGGGAAAGTATTCTGTTTGCAAGGTTCCCCAGTGTTGTCTTCCCAACATGGAGACCAAGTAGCACTCGTCATTTATCACTGTGCTCGCACCACTGTGTGTTCATGAACCTGGACAGTTTGCATTACCTGCCTGGCCTCTGTAGGTGTTTGAATTGCCTCTCCTCTTGGAGACTAAAGGATGTCTCCATTTTCTGCCCGTTTTACCTTATCTCTTTAGTACCCGTCTCAATTTCAGTAGCTGTTAGAGTCGATGATAGGAGTGTAGAAA